GTAGATAAACGGTTTCTTTCCATCGCTATTGACACAAACTTACTAAGGCATGACTGGTACGGTTTGAAAGTCTGCGATAAGCTCACAACTCTTGCGAAAGGATTACAGCCTGCGTATCTACGAATTGGTGGAACAGCTGCGGATTTCTTGACATTCGACAATAACGGCTCAAATCAAAAATTAAGTCATGGAGACGAAGGATTCTTTGACGATCCCGCGATGGAAGAAAACTTAGACAGTGAAATGAACTTCACTATCTCAAAAACTGATTTGGATAAAGTTCATGAGATTGCGTCCAAGGGAGGCTGGGATGTAGTCTTTGATTTAAATGTACTAAAAAGAAGTAAAAATGGCTCGTGGGATCCAACCAATCCACTTGAGATCATGCACTACGTTAGAGAGAAAGGATATAACTTTGCTTGGCAGCTTGGAAATGGTAAATTAATACTCTCTGATTTTATTTATTCATTCTTTCATCCATTCATTTTCATACTCGTCATTTCTTGAAGCCAAATTCATGAGCTCATATCTTTAGGACGCTGTATTTTATAATCATTCGGACCTATTCGAGATCGATCGGTAATCGAATTTGTCGGTCATCAACCTATGAAAGAAATTGCTTTTAGTTCCTTATATCAGAAAATTAGAGCACAAAAATCACTTCAAGAATATTGCATGATATTGCTGATTGGGTGAGAATATTGTCCCATTGCGTTTAAACAGGTTTTAATCTGATTACCTGTTGATAACTGATATTTGATAGGGTCACTGGGTCGGTCAGAAACTCAGCAGGCTGCGAAGGAGACTAGAAGTGGGGCGGACCGGCTGAAGGTCCCGAAGTTTTAGATGTGTAATCCCTATTTGTGGACTTTCTTTCCTTTTCCTTCAATGCTTTGACAAGCAATCATTTCTGTTCCTCTTCATCTATTAACTTTTACTCCTTTGTCTGCATGCTCTTGTATTTTTTATTTCATCTAATTGATTCTATTGCGTCTCAGAGCCCAATCATTTGAGCAAATTCGGGAGAAACATGACAGCTCCTCAACTTGGAAAGGATTTCAGTAAATTAAGAGAAATACTTCACAATGATCCATCACTTGGAACAATAATTGTTGGACCAGACGCCAACGCACTAGAAGATCAGACAGCGAAGGACTACCTAAAAGAGTATGTACGCCCTCGTACACAATGCATGTTCGTAACGTTTGTGAATTGTTCATACTGATACGTACGACACAAAGACGTAACTTCTACGAAAACGCATCAGCCCTATTCTAGGTATCAATGTGTGCGCTGGTAATAGAAAGCGAAGAAAGTTGTTTGCGCAAGCGCAAAGTAGTGAATGGGCCTAATTCAGTTTCTGCAACCAGCTTTCAGTCTTCTACTTGCGGCAAATCATTTTAGTTTAGCGAAACAAGTTGGTACGTAATTTGACGCATTTGCCGCTAAATTGCTACGACAAAATGTTGCGCATCAATGTTTTAAGTACTCGACTATGTGATTTTCGATGTTCGTAATTGTCTTGGTTATATCTAACAACGTTATTTAAAAAAAAACAGGTTTCTAGAAAGTGGCGGAGATGTTGTTAATGCGGTTACTTGGCATCAGTAAGTAGCTATATTTAGTAGAAGAATATTTTTGAACATTACTTAATTTTAATTTAATTTTTCAGTTATTACGTAAACGGCCGAACTGCTAAGATTGAAGACTTCTACAAGGCAACTATACTTGATGGTCTAGTGGCGCAGTTGAAGGAAGTCAGCGACATCGTCGTTTCCACGACCCCTCCAAACACTAAACCTTGGATAGGCGAAACAAGTAGTGCATATGGCGGGGGTGCGCGTGGCTTGTCTGACAGATATGTCGCTGGATTTATGTAAATATATATTTTTCCAATGGCGATGATTTGAGTTATCGCGCAAACGGTGGCCTTCTTTTCCTTTGTAGTCCTCTTTCTTCAATAACTTGTTTCTCCTGACTCGGTAATCTTGAAGAGTAATGAGCCCCGCCTAAAGGAAGGGACTTTATAATGATTTAAATGAGCCCTTAAAAAGTCTTCCCCTCCTCATGTACGTTGGATTGTTTGCCTACTCTCACGTTGAGATAAGAACATAGTGGTTAGTCCTCCTATATGATAAGAACGATGAATCAGAAGCAAGGCAAGGCCAAGTGTGTAACCACTTCCTTATACCCTTTGTTGCTTTGACGATTGATTTTTCTTTTTCAAGGTGGCTCGATAAGCTTGGACTTTCAGCTCGTTTGAACGAAGATATCGTCATCAGACAGACCTTATTTGGTGGTCGATATGCTCTGCTCGATTCTGACATGAACCCCAACCCTGTGAGTAGGAAAATCCCTAGTGCGTTCTACTTGATTGCCATTTTAACTTGAACGAAGTCTCAACAATATTTATTGAAGTCTAAACGCGAACAGCCCAGAGGAAATCCCTTTGCCTCAGTGCGGTGTGCTTGTTGTTGCTTTTTTGTGTTTTTTTTTTTTTATTTGTTGCTTTTTTTACAAAATCCTCTAAAAATATCTCCATGATTTTTTCCATTATTTTACATGCTGCAACCTTTTACCAGGACATAGAGCCTCCTCAAGAAAAGACACGGGCTTTCTTTGTATAAAATGAATAAGCCGAAAGAATAAAATATGAGGAGTATAAGAACTTCCTATCTTGCGCAGGAAGCTACACCAATACCGTAATCTGATAACTTTACGTATGTGACTAATTAGTGGCTATTTCTGAAGGATTACTGGCTATCGGTGTTGTATAAACGTCTTGTGGGTACTGAAGTGCTGGAGGTGGATAAAGGTCTGGAGAGCGGAAGAGTTCTCAGGGTGTATGCTCATTGTACGAACCACTACCTTAGGTAATGATCGCATTATCACAGGTGTACGCTAATTTCACTGGAAAAAATCGCGCGCTTTAAAGGTTGTAAATTTGATGCAAATATGATGTAAGTGTCCAAAATTCTGTAAATTTGATGTTAATGATTTCCATTTCCACATCATATTTACATCAAATTTACAACCTTTAAAGCGCGCGATTTTTTCCAGTGTTTGCAAGCGCAATACACATGTACATCAAGTGAAGAAAGACAAAAAGTGATGCATTTTTGAAACAAGTTAGCTCAATGCGCTATGAAGTCACTGCGCAAGATCAAAAATATTTTAATCTCGCTCCCATTTTCTCCTCGCAGACAGGAAATAAGGTTCCAGGGACCATTTTTGGTATTTCATTCAGTACATTATTGTTTTACAGTCACTACAGCCCTGGTGCAATCACAGTTATGGCAATGAATATCGACCCGTCAAAAGAAGCAACGTTTTGCCTTACAGAGGGCTTACAAGGATTAAAAGTCGACCAATATCTACTAACCCCCTCTAACGGAGAACCTACATCACAGTGAGTATATTACGAATGGCCCTTTGGGACCGTAATGAAGTGCCCGCAATAATGAGTGTCTGCAATATAAAGGGAGTTATTTTCAGTATAATAAGTGCCCATTATAATAGTGTCCTGAATAGCGGGTGTCCGCTGTAAAGGGAGTTACTTTCAGTATCATTAAGTGTCCGTAATAACCGGGTGTCCGAATGGGGTTTCCATATGGTGAGTTTTTTATTTACAATATTTCCTTCAGATTCGTTTCGCTAAATGGTAAAGTTCTAAAACTCGTTGACGACAAGACGCTACCAAGTCTCGAACCAAAGCAAATAACTTCTGATCGCATCTCCATTCCTCCTCTGGCAATGGGATTCTTCGTTGTCCCTCAGGCTAACGCTACTGCTTGCATGGACACATATGTGAAACACTAACTTGAAATTACCAATGAAATATCGACTGAAATGATTCGCACTGATAAAAAGGAGTCTCTTCTGTTGTAGTTCGATAGTTTCTTTCCAAAAAAGCAAAAATACCCAGTTTCTTTCCAAGTGAGCAGAAATGACGATTAATAAAGTATTTCAGTCGCAGACTTCCAGATGTTATCAGTGTCACCCTCTGGCTTTCTTCTATAAGGAGAAATAGCTCAGCGTCACCGCTCAGATAACAGCTGGGATAGAGGTTTAGTTATAGTGAACTAACAAAAAAATCACTGTTTCAATTCATAATAAAGACATGGTGATTTATTGAAGTGAGAGAATATTTTTCAAAAATATAGTTTCCTATTTGCTATTGACATCATAATACAAAAAATTAAAACACGAGTTACAATGAAATAATTTAGGCTATATATAATGTATCTATGTATATCTACGGTTTTTGGATGTAATAATAAATTTGTGTTGAATTTAACTTTTGTGGGTGTTCTATACATATCCAAAATGACTGGGCAGAAAACGTTGAGATTTATGAATTATAAGATTAATTTACTCGACGCAAATTCACATTGGACGAAGAAAGTTCGATGGCGCCCATCCACGCATTTCGTTCCCAGTCTTCACGTACCACCAACCTCCCTCGTTCTGTTCCAAAACTTCTAGTGTGTCMCCCTCCTGAAAACTAACYGAGCCCTCGTCGTCATCAGCAAATGTGGCTATTGCAACACACAACTGTTTCGAAGGTGCGCCAGGCTTCTTAGGAGGACTTGGTCTAGGAGGTTTWTGAACATCACGTTTAGCAGGTTTTGGAGGAACCGGTTTAACAGGTTTTGAACTTGTTTGTTTTGTGGATGGTGGAGGTGGAGGTTCCCGCCGTTGTCTTTTGTTGCATTCACTTGTATTGTCTGATTTTTTCATTTCGAGGTAACTWGCCGGARCCCATTTCTCCTGTCCTTGATTTGTCTTCACCAACCACCAACCAGACCCAGAATCTTCAAGAAATTGAAATGTTTCCCCTWGAGAAAAGCTCACTCCACTGTCATCGTCRCTAGTGAAMGATGCGATAGCRACACAARTTTTATCGGTTAAAACTGGTTTGGTAGAAGTCACAACTGGTTTTGAWGCCGTTTTAATGTCATTATGATGCTGCTGAGGACCCTGACCAAGAGGAATTTTACTTTCAAACATAGCGGTGTTCAGTTTTCCAATCTTCTTTTGCGGTTCTGCAGGCGAGTTCTTGGCTTGATTTKGATCTCCCTTCAGAACTGGTTTGGCAGGAAAAGCAGGTTTATCGTATTTATGCACAGGAACCTTAGTTTGTTTATGATCATCGTTAACAACCGGTTTTGCAGGAAAAGCAGGTTTGTCGTATCTGTGTTTTAACGCGGGTGGTGACGGTTTGGTATTCGGCTTCTGAGGTGGTTTAGGTTTAGTGATAACCGGTTTTGACCGGTTTTCCACTGCACCATCGTGTCGTTTCAAATAACTCGAAGGAAACCAGCTCTCGGCATCGTTAAATTTAACAAGCCACCATTCTCCTTCGCTTTGGTCGACAACTTCTACAACATCACCTTCTTTAAGTGACAAAACTCCTTCCGCGCTGTCTTCAAAGGAAGCAACAGCGATAAACAAGTCTTTTTTATTGTCCTGTATCACAGTGGACTTCCTCAAAGAAACTGCGCCAAGGGCTGAAGCAAGATCATTTTGAAACCCACCCTTGTTAGGCTTACTATCTGCTTTGGGTGGTTCAGGTCTTCGAGGCGTCGAATTATTCGAGGATTCTTTGTTGCTCTTTTCACGTTTACCAATGTAGGAAGATGGAATCCATCCTTCGTGTCCGCCAATTTTCCCAAACCACCAACCATTCGGCGMCTTCTCCATAACTTCTATAGCTTCTCCCGGGTCAAAGTCGAGACCTGATTGAATCCCAATAGCTCGAAACTCACTAAGAGTGAAGTATTCGGCTTCTGGTCGTACTAGTTTACATTCCTTGACAGGTTCAAATGACTTCTCGTAAGCCCGATTGGTGATTGCAACCGGTTTTTTGATTGAACGCTTAACCTGCAAAACACACAAAAAACAAAACAATCATTCATAAAGTTTCAGATAAAGAGTTGATTCTGAAAACGTTGAATGACTAAAGATAGTGTATTTCAAGACCGAAATGCATTGTTAGTGGTTCCTTCACCGTGGTTTCAAAATGCCTATGTACATGGTTCATAGAGGGAGATCTCAAGAACTCAATGGAAACAAAGTTTATAATTGAAATTTTGTAGTGCATAAAACGTGGAGCCGGTTTAATGGCAACAGTGCATTGCGGTCGTACTATTTCCTTCGAAAACACCAGCGCTACTTATTCGTTAAAACAACAATGATGGCGACAAGTATGGTAAAAACTCACAGAAGCTTTTCGAGGAGGTATCTTCCTTCCCTTGTTACCTTTTAAGAATCAAACAAATGAATCAGGGGGTATGAAAACAAATCAAACATATGAATCAAGGGTAAATTTACTCCCGCAATGCATTACAAGGCGCCTGTTTTTAGTAAAAGTTAACTATTGTGTGTTCCGATTCCGCCATGTTGTTTTTTTAAGGCAAACCCAATCGCAGTGCCTTCTCTGCTCAGTATCGAGCGTGCGTTAACGGGCGAAACATTCCACACTCTTGGACCAATCGCTGAGCGAATAACAATAAAATAAATAAATAAACATGAAATCATTTCGGTTCCTTTCTGAAACGATGGAAACACAAATGAACAACACCGGGAAATTTATCGGTGACCCGCACGATGCAAGACGGTAACAGTCAATATACTTTGAAAAGTGATTTAACACTTACCTACACTAGTTGTACGTTGCTGCATGACAGGTTTGGTTGGTTCCATCTTCGGTAGACCCCCACCCATTTCCGCTGCTCGTAGCTGCATTGGGTCGGGTTTTTTGAGGTACATTGCTGGTGCCCAACCCTCTTTGTTTTGATAGCTAGAAAAAAGTCAAACAAGGAGCTTGTGTAAACTGGGAAGGAAAGGACCTGATTTACATTGCTTGGATTTGCTTAGTAGATCCAGTGACAAGGCCGAAGACACGTGCGCACTTGTGGTGCTAAATCAGTTTCAAATTTTGAGAAATTGCTTTTCCACATATTTTTGCATTTACAATCATAAATTATAAATCCCAAATCATAAATCTCAAAAATAATATCAATGAAAGAAAAGAAAACATCTTTTTTGTGTTCAGAGTCTATTTTGTACTTAAAACATACGGAAATACGCTACATTTTAGCAGAGTTTTGGAGGTAATACGGAGTGGGTACGTTCCAAACTGACTACACTACGCCCCTGTATAGCACTAGGAATGCTAGTGCTTCCATGGTCATGTTTTTCGTTTCTTTAGGGTTAACATAACTGCTCATCAATACCTTATTAACCACCAGCCATCAAAATTCTTTCTTAAAACGGTCACAATAACGCCTCTTTCAAAGCTCACTTCATCGTCCAGCTCGGCCTTGTGGGCAGTCGATGTGATGAACTGGTTACCTGGAAACAACGTGACTGGACAATAAAATCATAACCTGAAAAGTATTTTATCCTAAACGCATAGCTAACTGCAAATATCCAAAATGTCTGATAATGGACCATGAATTAGATTAATGTAATACCTTCTAGTGATGTGACTTCAGTACAAGTCATTTCATCTGTCTGTCCGTCCACAGTTTCAAGATAAGCTGCAGGTACCCAGCCCTGTTCTTCATCAAGATTAACGAACCACCAGCCTATAGAATTAAGTTTTATATTATAGCTCAATTCTAACACAAGCGCTGATTGGCGGATTTCATGACAAATCCGAAAAGAAGTCTGAAACTCGAAAAGGTAAATCACTCGTCTGACTGCTTGTGATTTACAGATCTTTTCTCATGTTCTCTCCAACCATCCTGAGAGTTTTATTTCACCAGTAAACCGCGTCAAGCTGTCGTTTATTGCTTAAATACACTATTTTCAGTAGGTATAGCCAATGAAATAGAAGTGAGATTAGAATGATTGAGATGGGAGAGGCTTCAGGGCTTACTGCTTTTTTCTTATTTTCTATTATGCTCTCAGCCATTCTGTATCCCCATTTTTTGGACATTMTGATTTCAGCCACCAACWTTTTACTACTAATAATACTTTTAYTAGTAATTGTTTGTYGGTAAGAGTTTTTTTACCATAATACTAACCATTCTCATTCTTATCAATGACCTCAATTACATCCCCAGCTACCATATTAATTTCATTGCGATTTTGCTTTTTGTAGTCTGCGATGGCAACATATTGCTCCAGGGATATGGGATCTGATATCACATCAGCTGAAAATAACATAGTTTTTATTATTACAAAATAAGATTTACAAACACTTAGATGCTGACTTTGTGATTTTCCTCAGCAAATTGCAATATTTTTAGGCCAAGGTAAGCTGTGATCCAGAATCAAGATGGTGGACAATCCAAATGAGAAATTGCACATGCATACTGAGTATGTGACTCCAAAATTGCAAATGTTGCTGGAATTACACTGTGCAATGTGTTGCACATTACTGCAATGTATTACGAAAAGAGCTCTGTGTTCTATTACCGCACCCAGAAGAAAAAAGTGACAAGACGACCCATGTTGCGCATTGAAATTCTTCAGCAACTTGTGCAAGTTACTGCAATGAATTGCAAAAAGAGAACTGTGTTCTATTACCGTACCCAGAAGAAAAAAGTTACAGCAACTTGTGTCGCAATGGCTTTGTGAGACAAGTTGCTGAGAAAGTTGCAAAGTGTAACAGGGCCTTTACAACTTATCATCATTGACTTTCAGAACAGACACTTGCAGTATGGACTGGTCATATAACAATGGAAAATATTTAAGGTTCAAGGCTCTCACCTGTGTCTTTTTTCTTTTCTTTCTTCTTTCTGAAATATATATTAACTTATTCATTATTAAAATTGTTACGGTCAATTAACAAAATTCTCGCTAAATTTTAACTAGACTCCTTTCCAACTGTTTTTGTTGTCATAAAAGTGAAAACTCTCCATTGTTGTAGATGCAATTTGTCTGCCCTGCTTGAAAACATTACAACATGGACATTTGCTTCAAAGACTTAAGTAATGAGGTTCTCAGTACAAACAGCCATTTAAAACATACCTAACTTGAATCAATGGTTTAGCAGGCATGGAAGGAGTCAATATCAAATTAAAGATGTGGGTGCTCCCTGACACTGAGGTCTTTTCTACTCAACTGACTTCAATTCAATGTACATTGATGTTTTAATATATTGACTTATGAAAGAAGACATACTCTGTTGGGATATCAACATCTTCTGGCTCTGCCTTGAAGAACTTTATCACCAAGTCACATTGAGATATCTTTGGCTCTAAAGCAATCAGTTTCTATAAAGCAGTGCATAATATGAGATGACACAATCTTGCAAAGTAATAGTGATAATATTGACCATCAGCAAAGCACATTTTTAACCATGAGGGATATTTTTACTAAAGAAACACGACACTTACAGCACAGTAGTCGTTAATAGGTTCTTTCCTTTTCTCAGCAACATCCCTGACGTGACTTCTCCCAAAGATAATTTTGCCTGATAAATTAACAATGACAAAGCAAACTCTTTATTTAGGAAATATAATAGACAAGTCATGCAATAATTGAATTAGCACAATAACTTCATCAACTAACTGCAATACTTATACTCTCAAAGAACATGGAGAACTGATGTGTGATGTCACTTTGTTGCAAATTTATCAGATTTGTGACAATTACCTTAAAGCACATGGGAAGAATTATTTGTCTACCAACTTTCAGTGTCCTAGTGCCATTATAGCAAAGATGTATGCCTTTTTTTATAGTTGGATTACCACATATAAACCCATATATATTTCCTCTGGTTTATTTTGCTATAAGACAGCAGAGCAGACTCAAAAGGGCTTTTATGTTTTCATCCAACCATTTGTGCAACACATGTACAAAGTGCTTACCTGGAAGAAAAGGAAGTACTCTTGCACTAGGGTTCTGYACTCCACCCTCCAATGGAAATTCTTCTATAAGTTTTGTCTAAACCAATAAAAATATACTTATTATACAATTCTATAATTAAATATCACTATAAAGGTTGTATTCCTTAAAATATAGGCATTTTTGTAGCTGTTCTTGTTCCTTCTAGAACTCATCAATAATTCATAAGCTATTAGTCAAATGAACATCAAACTATTGGATGGTCCTTTATATCCCGATAAAGCACTGATGTTTTATTAATCAGTTCTATATCAGATATATAGAACTGATGTTCAAGGTCATCAGTGCTTGATCGCAACCCAACACTAGCAAAGGTCTCTATAGATATATCTCCCGATAAAGCACTCCTGCTTGTGCATAATTTTAAGTTATTTTTTCTGATTTAAGTCATAGCTTACAATTTTGGTTTCACAACTTATTGATGAATATTAACCTAACTTATTATGTTATATCTATTATTGAATTTTCCTCGATTATTACAGGCAATTCTTGAATTAGGAATCTTTCAAGTTTCAGTTAGAAACTAATTTTTGATACAAAACTGAAATATTCTATTTTTCTGTTTTCAACCAGAATCAAAATGTATATATTTTATACTATAATTCCTGACATAAAACATRTTTTATTACYTTAATCAWTYAATTATAAMATACTTAATAACTTATTGAAGTGAAACTAACTTTTATTGACGTGATCAATGCAAGATTGGATGGTGTGATGTTCATAAAAAATGTACTTCGCTTCCATGATCAATGAAAATTACGTACCTGTAAGTCAAAAAACTTGCTGTAYCTTCTGTATACAACATTGACACTTGAATCAGACCAAGAAACACTTATTACATAAACCTGMAAGAACAACATGAACAACGAAGACATGCTGAAGCGAATATTTTTAACATAACAAGCAAATTCAGCTAATTAGCTTGAGCAATAACAYGAGCTGAAACATTGTCTTTSGAGCAACCTCAAAAATGCACACGCTCTTTGAGTAAATAACAAAGATCGTTTTATAAAATTTTAAGTGAGTTCTTAATAATAAACTTATAACTTAAATAATAAGCTTATAACTCACATTGAGCCGCAAGTTTTTATTGCCCTATTTAACATTCGTGCATATGTGTCGTTTCCACTAAAATCATTATAAAAGTACTTACATAATGTTTGCTAGGAACCTTTCTCTTCTGAATATCTACAATTTTAACACCTGTGATTGTCCTCTTGACCATTTTTGGGGGGTTTTCTGATTTTATGTACTGAAAATGTCGAGGTGACTTGTTCTTGTCAAGTTTATGCAAATACTGAGCCCGCGAACTGTTTGGCCTTCCTGGAAGCCGGAAGTAGTTTTACAGACTACAAATCTGAAACACTTACCCGGAAAAGTATACTATTTATCATCTGACGTTTTTGTTTTTTAAACCTTTGGAATGGTACAATCTTTAAATGTTTGTTAGTGTGCCGTTTCTTTCTGTTACGACTATTTTCAAAAATTCTGGCCCGCCAACGCCAATTCTGATATGCTACAAAAGTATAGCTTAGAAATTATGGGATACCATTGCTAACGTTTGACCTAGGCAAACGTCTAGCTATGCACTCTCTAACTGTCTACCAGGCTTTGAAGCTATATTTAAAAAACTATAACTTATTCTCAACAGAATGATGCTTGTAAAGATGGCGCCTTATGGTATTACGAAAAAGTTTACCTCATTAAAAAATAGGCAGACGATGGCTGCATGTGACTCAGGCCATTAAGATATTTAGTTGACTTCAAGTTTGCTGCGTTACAAAGTGGCAATTCTAAATTTAATGAAAGGTGAATGGTGATAGAATGACCCACGATGCATTTCGCTCTTGGAATAAACAGGTTAGAAAGTAAAATTTGGATCCAATGGCACACAATCATTGTCATAAGCATGGATTTAAGCCATAATTCATGCCATGGCTATGTATTATACAGTATCTTTAATTAGCTGTATACCCTGCAAAGAACTAAAAGTATCAAGTTGTGATCAAGCATTCATTTTGTTGTCTATAAATACACACCAGGCGGCGATTCCCAGGGGCCAAGGAACCTATTGTTATGGTTGATCATTCCTCCCGTAGGGGCCTGACGCGGGGCGCCCTGTTTCCCTGCCTAATAAACATATCCGTCTGAAAGATTTCGGGGAAAAGGAATTGTTATCCAGGACATGGAGTCCTCAGAGCTTTGATTTAGCTTTGCTGTAAATTATCGAACATTCTGTTCGATGTATTTTTACATCCATGCTATAATTACTCTTATTCGCCTGATTATAGTTTTGAAATGAAACCCAAAGATTGCTAAGTTTTTCTTCATCAATTTTATACGGATTGTCATTCATCCTCTTCAATTGTTAACATTCACTATTTAGATTTAACAATT